CCCTCCAGGACGCAGTTACCAGGCGAGGGGTTTCCAACTACAACAAATGGCATCCTCTCACGGCCACCAACAAGGGACCGCACCTTGACCCCAAGAAATCCAAATAATCGCACAATTTTCCACTTCCGGTTACGCAGGAAGGTTATATCTGAATCCCTGGCGTCGCGACCTCCCAGACCTCCCAGCGAACAGTTAGTAGCTTGGCTGGAATGTAAAGGTGGTCAACAACAGCGGCAGTCTGCCTTTACCTCTTGATCAACTCATAGATTTGGCCTATAACGTCGTCTGTGAGCTGACAGGAAGCTGCTGCTTCAACGTGGAATACGAGATCACAATTTAATATCCTCTCATATTCCCACAGTTTGTGATTTCCTCCTCTACCGTCCACCTCGGTGTCAGTCAGGTATCGGCCAATCTATTCATCCGGTTCATTTTCCAGACTGCTATTCTTTACAAACCATGTCGATAGCAACTTCATCTCCACGATCTATCGAAAATCAGTCTCCGAATCTCTCTGCGTTCAAAGCTCAAATCTACAGTGACCCTTTTCTCCCGAACCCTTCCAACAACAACAACATCAACGAGCAATTATCACTCCATCCACATGGTGAACCAGCAACGGTAAACCTTTCTGAATTAGAAAGCCATCACCATAACGGACAATTATCAGGGGAGGATTTCCACGGCTCATTGCCAGTATCTCCAAATAATATCCACCTCCCAAGCGGCTCAAAGGGTGGCACCGCATATACGCGGCCAAATACCAATCCCTCGAGCAACGTTCAGTCTCCTACATCCCACCAGGATTTCTTAAGCCCCTCCGATTACGCTGAGAACGGATACAGCGATTTTAGTTCCTACGGATCTCCCGAAATTGACGACCCCTTCTTCTTAGAGCCAGAATTCGGCTTCAATCCCGAATCCGAGCCACTTACATTACCGGGTTCTGAAGCCCTACAACACCACAATTCACAGGATAACGAGCCTTCAGGGCACAATGAGCAAAAATTAGAAACAACAACATTAACAGCGTCTCAACTTTTGAGCCCAGGCCTTACAAACACTCCCAGTCCACCATCTGACTCCCAAAATATGGACTTCTCTGGTATGAATGACGGAAGAGACAAGGCACACCGGCCTTCAAGAATGGATATTCATACCCATCGGTTTCAACATACACCAACGCTTACGACATCCAGCCCGTGCAGCGATACGCTTGAGGTTAGCACCTTTTCACATAGAGATCAACCTACGAGTCCGATTGTTAAGGTATCGAGCTATACCCGAGGCGACTCTCCTTCCAGGGGCGATGACCCGACGGAGCAGAGGTCGGACAAAAGGGGTCGACCTACAATATCGTCTTCCCATCTTGCGCCAACAGGCAACAAGCACGAGTATGACTACGATGACATTGACGATAGCCACTACGTAGGCTCACAGTACAGGTCTATTTCAGTTCCTCCACCGTCATCTCGTGCGGACGATGGGTCATGGGTCGCCAGCTCCTCCACGGGACAAAGAGGACTTGATCCTGCTTGCAGAGGTGACATCTACGTGCCAAGCCCCAAAGAAATGATGGAGCAACGAAAAAGAGAGCAAAAGAACGCCGATGTAGAACAGTGGTTGTCTGTCAGCGAGGTTAATAGCGAGGTCCAGGATAATGGTGCTTTTGGCCGTAGGCCTAGCAGAAGAAACAAATTGGTGACATTTCGTCGCAGAGCAAAAAGCACTGGAGATCCGGTAGCCACCCACCAGCAATTCCTTGATGATTCTAAAATCCCTGGGCCCGGTGTTTTAATCGATGAGGACAGCGGGTTAGAAGATATAGAAGATGACAATGACTCCAATACTTCAAACAAAATCCCAGAGACGCCCCCGGCCAAAGTGGATCTAGATTCTCGAGTCGAACTGTCCGGAGGGTATTTCCCTCCAGTTACCAACGATGATGAAGCTCAGAATGCGGAGCCATTGCCCCGACAGTTTATCAGAGCTCGACCCTGGCAAGACCAACTTAGAAACCCTCGGATCGGCGATACTAGACATCAACCGTCGACCTCGAATGCTGCGATGTCGAGGTTCGGGCGTGCTGCTGAAAATATTGAAACTGCATCGCGTGCTGCCACATGGGGCACCACGCGAAGAATGAGTGAATCAGATATGCGTAGCTTACATGCAGCCAATGGTTCCTTCATACCTTCATATGTCGATAAAGAAAAGAAGCACACTAGGCGGAATAGTATTTTCAAACACACGAACAAACTTTTACCTAAAAGGAGCAACAGCAATGCGAAACGTAAGCTAGCCGAATCTGCGCAACAACAGCCAGGAGCAGAATCCGTCGATAAGCAGAAGAACAAAGACTCAAAGGAAGGAGGGTTAACCAGCTCAGTTTTACCGCAAAAGAAACCTGGTTTTAGCCGCCCTCCCAAATCCCCGTTGACAACTGAAGGCCTTGTTTTGGCTATGACTGGACAGATTGTAGCAGTCGGCGGTGGTGGACCAGTCGGAGTGCCCTCTCCTAGTGCATCATCGAGCCCCTGGAATAATTTCATGAGACGTAGTCGCAGCAAAAGCGATCTCTCGAAAACTTCAAAGTCACCTGTATCCGGCGGGTTGCTTGAATTAATGACAAACTTTGGTGGTCCTCCAGTTCCTACCCTTGCTTCCCCGCGTCAAGACAAAGCTCTTGCGCCTAGTCCTATGTCAGGAAAGGGGCAACTTGACGACGAGGAGGATGAGGATGATGAAGACGAGCCTATGGGCGATAAGGGCGTTACAATGGACTTCGCTATCCGAACGGATCCTATTGTTCCAACGCTCGATGGCTTCAAGACCCAGATTCAACAGCTCAATCCAAGACTTAAGTCCCCAGCATTGATCGAGCGATTCGCCCAAGAGCAGTTACGTCGATATAAAAAACTCGTTGAACTTAAATTGCAACATGCTCAAGCAGTGAGCATGCAAAATTGCACCTCAGGCAAACATTGCTTTGAGCAGGGAGGCGAAGCCACCATGCTCCCACCTAAAATTAGTTCGAAAGATCCAGACGCCACTTGCGCGCAGTTCCAAATAACCAGCTCAGCCAATCCAGATGGGGATATGAGCAGCTTTGGCGAAGGAACTGTAACTGCTGCACTTTTTCCCAATGGAGTCCTCTGCCACCGGTAAACGTCTCCCCCGCTCAATTCGAATGTTATCTTTGCTTTAAGGTAAAGCGTTCAGAAA